AGAGAATCTTTGACTTTTTGATATGAATTGTTAACTTTTTGACTAATTTAATAACTTTTTAACTAATTTAATAATTTTTTAACTAAAAATAAAAATTTCCACACGAGGCCTAAGATTAGGCTTTGATCCCTTTGGGGTCAGTTTTGCTTCTCCATTTTTTTTTTTTTTTTGCTTGCCCATTTAGATATGCAAAAGAAGGTGTGAATTTGCTGCCTAGTTTCTTGGTGAGTGGGTAAACCCAATGGATTTGTATTTGCTTGGACGATTTAAATCAAAAAATTTTTTTTAGAAAATTTTGAAAAAAATTTTTTTTACAAATTTTTTACTTTTTAAGTATATTTTATTTGGGTCCATTAAAAAAAAAAAAAAAAAAAAAAAAAAAAAGAAGAAGAAGAAGAAGAAGAAGAGAAAAATCATTTTTTTAATACTATGCTTGAATCTTATATTTATCACGGAAAAACTGAAATTAGTTATACATAGTAACTTTTTTGTAAGTAACTGTACGGACATAAAAAATACCGTATTTGATGATAAAAAAATTTAACGAAAAAGATGATCAGGACCAAGATTTTTCAAGTTGGTCAAATTTGTCAACCTTCTTTGGCCGAGATAACCAACTTCGACAAAGAGTGCAAAAATTTGTTGGTCAAACCTCCCAACCTTCTTTGGCTGAGATAAGTAACTCAGACAAAGCGGGCAAAAATATGTTGGTCAAACCTGTCAACCTTCTTTGGCCAATATAACCAACTTTGTCAAATCAAAGAGTCCAAAAAGGAGTTGGTCAAACCTGCCAACCTACTTTGTCCCCATTTGTGCAAAGATTTTTCAAAGTTGGTCAAACCTATCAATCCACTTTGCCCTTAGTCGTGCAAAGATTTTTCAAAGTTGGTCAAACCTGCCAACCCACTTTGTCTCCAATTGTGCAAAGATTTTTCAAAATTGTAATCAAGGGGTAGTGCAATTCAACTTGCCTCTGTGATCCATAAAGTGCGGACTCCATCTCAGCATATTTGACCAAATAGCAGTCTCTATCTACGTTCGGTATATAAAAATTCTTTGTGGCCGGAGTAATAATACATAAAATTCATGCTCTATAGATAACTAAAATCTGGCACAATACATAATAAAATATTTTCATGGGCGAAGTAATAATGCATAAAATCCGTACTCCGTAGATAAAGCTCCAATATAATTGTCACGACCCCATTCCGCCCCTAGTAGAATGGTGCCGTGATGGCCAGTAATCCGAGATTACCGAAGGCCAACTTTCAAAATTCACACACAATCAGAGTATTACATATGGGGCTAATATGTGCGGAAGCAATATATGCAAATCTAATTAGTCCATAAGAGCTGTGTAGAA